TTGATGTCTTTGATGTGATGTCTCCTCTGTATTTGCGGGTCCCATTGCCATTGTTATTGTTATTGTTGTTGTTATTATCATCATGCGTTGCTTTCCACCTTCTTCTCCAGTAGGACTCAGATGAGGGTGTTGCACTTTTCTTTTCCTTATACATGTGATGTTTTGGTGTTTTGTTTCTTTCCGTTAACCGTCAAGTGGGAAATAAGTATTTTTTTTGTGTGTTTCTCTTAGTATCCTAAGATACTGTTATGTTTGGCTGTGAAAAAAAAATTATTATTATGAAGGGCAGACCATCTATTTGTATTTATTTGTTTTTTTTAGAAAGGGGCAGGTCACATAATATTTTATTCTTCTCCCTGCTCCTTTTCGCTAAATGGTAGTCATGTTTTGTGGCAATTATTGTACATTTGGTTTTGCGTACCATGAGCGGGACAAATAAAAATGAAATGAAATGAAATTGTCATATGCTAATTGCTAACTTGCTAATAGCCCTATAATATAACTGATTACCTGGAGCTAACAATGAAATGTTACTTAAACTTCCACCCAGATTTGTTGAGCAAAATCACACAAGTTATATATTTTCTAGATCTGTGTACAAAAGTGAAATGCAGGTATTGTTGGACTGGAGATGTTTTTATACTACTTTGACTTTGAGTTATGACACAGGCTCATCTGCATTGAAAGGTCAGCATAATTTACAGCAATAGTGCAAACACAATCAAACCAAATCATCCTCCAGACTCAGGTGTAAGAAATGTATTTCTAATGTGAGGTAGTGTGAGTCAAAAACATCAGAACTGTTCTGAATCAATAACACATTCTCCCATTTAACTTGAATGATGGGAATAAGGAACCTGTCTAAGTTGTCTGATTCCTTAATAGCGCATCCAACTTGTTCCCATGTGCAGTATTGTATATTCATGTGGTATCTTTTACCAGTTTATATAGGACCAGATCCACCCTGTAGATTTAAAGAAACACTTAAAAAATGCTTTTGATAATTAAGGATTTATAATGGTTTACACTGACTGCGGTTTAAAAAAAAAAAAAAAAGGTTTGCAGCTGCACCCAAAGATTTCTCAGGAGATCATAAGTAAATCAACTTTTAAGAGGAATTGATAATGGAGTCAGTATTGTTAAATGTTATCAATTTCCATTCCTATTCATGTTTGCCTTACAGTTCCTGCATATTTCCAGTTAATGTTACTATTATGATAACTGCACATAACACATGTTTAGCTAGTGGTTTAGGGTGTTATGAATGTGTTGACTGATGTGTCATTTCCTTTTTATTTATTGTAGGCAGGGCCCTGTCTGTGTAGTGTGTGTTTTTGTAATTACTACAAGTGAGCATTTCAATGAGTCAAATAAAAAAAAAAAAAAAAAAAAATGTATGCAGTAATACATTTGATAAGACGATTATGATAAATTGATATTATTCATTACATGACTTTACTTATTAAAGATTAGTATATTTCTAGTAGACCTGTGCCTTTCTTAAACTCAAAGTATCTACAGTGAAAAATGTTTTTGATGTGGAAATCCATGGTATGGATCAGATGTAGAATTAGTTATCATTTGTAATGTGCTCTAGCCTCATGCTGTAATCTGCTTTCTGGACCTTGTTGCATGTTTTATTTTTTAAACTTCAGCAGGAATTCAGTTGTGAGCTTTTGTTTTTATAAGGGCACATACAAAAGCATAAAGAAATAAAGTTACTGTCTTAAGTCTTCCGTAATTCGACCCAGAAGATTGTTGTTATGATCATCTTCATTCCAGAAGACTATTGATGTTAGATAAAGATTATTTCCTCCCTCCCCGTCTTCCTTCTTCCTTTTAGTTCTATTGATTTGGTTCCAAAAGCTGACAATAGTTTAAATATTTGAAAACATGAAACTAGTGCCCCTCCTCCACTGACTGCTTGTTGTAGCTTCACATTGAAGGACTGATTTGGAAAAGGTCCTTTTCATCTAGCTTTGGTGAAATAACTTGTATTTCTGCACTGTCCCTGCAAAAGTAAACAATAAAGTTGTGCATTCATATGAAATAACGCCAGTTACTTTGGGCCAACAGAAGGATGTGTGAGTCTGAATGACAGTTTCCCAGCCAGTTGTGATAAAGTGAGAACTTTTGGCAGACACTGAATTTCCACTCTTGGATGAGAGATTTCACAGAGTTAGGGTTGAGTCTTGGGGTAGTGCTCACGCTCGCCATTGTCTTTGTTGTTAAAATGGCGCCCGCAGAGACTGGTCCTGGTTATATAAGTTACTTGGGGCGTTAAAAGAATCGCCCCTCCAGAAGAAGTTTGAGGTAGCTGATTATGACACTCGTTAATATCTTAAATCAACAATTGGCTAACAGAGACCCACCTCTGTGGGGCGATTTCTCCATCGCCCCAGCACAGTACTTCAGTCATACGTATACAGTGTATAGGAAAAGCAATTTAAATAAAGTTAAAAAAAATAGAAAAAGCATTTCCTTGTGTGTGGTTTAGGGAGGGCGGCGCCCTATCGCCCCCTATGGGCCAGCATTCATTGGCTCTATATAGAATCGGAACTCCAGCTCATAACGTATTGTCATATGCTAATTGCTAACTTGCTAATAGCCCTATAATATAACTGATTACCTGGAACTAACAATGAAACGTTACTTTAACTTCCCCCCAGATTTGTTGAGCAAATTCACACAAGTTATATATTTTCTAGATCTGTGTACAAAAGTGAAATGCAGGTATTGTTGGACTGGAGATGTTTTGATACTACTTTGACTTTGAGTTATGACACAGGCCCATCTGCATTGAAGAGATAAAGTTACCGTCTTAAATCTTCCGTAATTCGACCCAGAAGATTTGTTTTATGATCATCTTGGGGAAATTCCAGAAGACTGTTAGATAAAGATTATTTCCTCCCTCCCCGTCTTCCTTCTTCCTTTTAGTTCTATTGATTTGGTTCCAAAAGCTGACAATAGTTTAAATATTTGAAAACATGAAACTAGTGCCCCTCCTCCACTGACTGCTTGATGTAGCTTCATATTGAAGGACTGATATGGAAAAGGTCCTTCTCATCTAGCTTTGTTGAAATAACTTGTATTTCTGCACTGTCCCTGCAAAAGTAAACAATAAAATAATCGGAAAGTGTGCATTCATATGAAATAACCATGGAAATAACGCCAGTTACTTTGGGCCAACAGAAGGATGTGTGAGTCTGAATGACAGTTTCCCAGCCAGTTGTGATAAAGTGAGAACTTTTGGCAGACACTGAATTTCCACTCATCGCTTCAAATATGAAAGTGACTCCTCTCTGTCTGTGATATGGCAGAGATCCATTAAGCACCAGCTACCTTTGACTGCTCCACTGTCAACAACGGCACCGAGGTAAAGCCTAGAAATCCTGTATTTAAAAAACACCGTTGCACAAAAAGGTTTCAAACAGTGAATCAAGCTAAACTAGTGTTGGATCCTCGGTGCAAGCCGAAGGGACTATTCAGTGGACATTTAAATTTCCGCAGCATCTGCAATAAACATGAACAGCTAGAAGATCTCCTCCTTGAGTCCAATATTGACTGTTTGGGAATATCAGAATCTTGGCTAAAACAGTCGTCACCATCCACTCTTGTATCTATGTCAGGATATAATGTGTTTAGGAAGGACAGACTGAAGGGAAAAGGAGGGTGTGTGTTGCTTTATGTGAGAAATACCTTTACCTGTAGGGAGATTGCACTCCCAGCTAATAAGAGGCGCATTCACACTGCGGTACTTTTCCTACAAAGGTTCATGTGAACTTAGTTCATGTGAACTCTTTAGTTCGCATGAACTAAGTACAGATCGCGTTCACACTTGAAAAAGTCCCTGGGGGTGGATTAGGCAAATTAAGCCGCTGACGTCACTTGTTCTTCTTCTGCTTTGGGCTTACTGGCAGGCCGCAAACCACTTCACGGCGTATACTGCCGCCCTAGAGAGATAAGAGTTACGACACTCCCATAGACCTCCGTTGTAAAAAAATGGCGGCGCCTACTTCCGGGGTATGGACATCGAAATAGTTCAAAATATTGTCATTTGGGCGTTGAACCTCATTCACTTACATTACGGCGCGTCGATTAGTTCCAGAGGTAAGTTGCTGAAATATCGAACTCTTTTGAATTGTCAACTGTCTATATTGTATCAGAGGCCCTTTATGATGCTTATACTGGTCTTCATTTGCATATGCACAGCGTAATTATCTATATTTTATCTTGGTTGTTACAACCAATTTAGCTAGCATTGCCTGCTAGTTAGCTAGCGCGACTTCGTCAGCTTTGAAGGTAAGATTTCAGTAATGAATCGCTAGCAGCTTATATATCAATGATGCTGGGTAACTAACAAGCAGGATTTAGATTGATTATGTGTTTTTATTGTTATTTTGGTTTTTATCCGCTGAACCTGACCGTGTCAGCCATCCTCGGCTTTTTCTGTATGATATGACTTAACTGCTAGCACTAGTAGAAATGAGGTGGCGTTTGTGATAAATATTTCATTTAATATTTCATTGCATTTTGGGATATACTAACATTTCATTATGTGACATGTTGACTGTACTTTTTTTTTTTTTTTGTACTGTTCCGTGTTAACTCATCTGTACTGTACAACTAGCCTAGCGCTACTTTTTAATGCTTGATGGCATGCTAGGATAGATTCCTTTGTATTGTAATATACACACTAGTTTAATGATTGTTCTTCAAAGGTATTATTCAGTCTTAAACAAATAATAGCCTACTTAATAGGCTACTCTACAGCAGTGAATAAAGGATGAGCCTAAAACATGGTCATGCATCCAAAATGTTTATTTTTAACAAAATAAACACTTTAAAATAATTAGCACTTTTTTTTTTCACCCACAGTGACAGCGCGCAGAGCATATTGGAACTCTACAGGTGTTGGGACAGAGTTCCTCAGACGAATGGACGAAAATGTATTTTCCAGGCAGTCTTGAGAGAACAAATTTGTGCCCTTGTCTCAACAGGTCATGCTGGACCTCCAGGATTGTTGTTGTGGCCATCACCAGTCCTGTCTGGACTGGTTTCCAGCTGCCCTTGGGACCGATCTTCAGGCCCCGAAACAGATGGATGGAGTCCCGGAGGAAGCTGATGGCCTTATCATACTCCTCCATCTTGAAATGACTTAGGGCAGTAACAGTGTTGCGTGACGACATGAGGTCAAACTTTTTGGTGTCCAATGTTCAGTCACTGTATTGGTAAGCAACAATTTGTTTTGGCCAAAATGTGTTATTCACACTCCTGACTCCAGTTTGATGTGCTGCATTCTCCTCTGAGTGGTCCTGATTTCAGGCAGAGGTCATGGCTTGGAAGGTTTTATATTCTGTAGTGTCTCAACAGAACCTAATATGAATTGCTTTATTGTCTCGTCGCTGGATCACCTCCCCCTGGCAAAGTGGCCTCGTTATTGTTGACAAACCTGTTTTTGTTGCTGGTTCAACAGGAGCTTCTGTAAATAGTTTTGTAAATAGTTTGAATATTTATCATAGTAATCATTTTTAGTCTCCCACTCTCTCAATTTAATTTATCGTTTCTTTGCCCCACCATATATTTTGTTGTCCAAGGGAACTAATTTGGTCTGTGTTGAAGATTGTTTTACACTTTAGATCAATCAAAATTGTGTTTTTTGGCTGAATTAATCTTTTTCTGTTGAACCCTAACCCTCTTTGTTCTCCTTCTCATTCATTTTACTTTGTTTTGTTCTAACACACATCCCACATCACTTTTTCCATACACTGTTCTTAATACTTGTTCACACATTTGTTCGTCCCTTTTACTTTGTTCTTCCTGTTGTTCTTCTTCAAACACATATATCAATTGTTCATCCACTGTTGTGGTAAAATGATATTCATAGTCTTAACATGATCATGCTACCCATGCTAACATGAACACAAACGTTTCCCTCCAAAAATGTAAAACGTATCTAAGTAATAGGCTACCAAGCTTTCCGTTGTCACCCTGCCTCTCCAAATGCAAAACTGTCAATAAAAAGTATGCAATAATGCAATTACAGCTAAAAAAGTACTTGGGTGTGTGTGTTTTTTTTATATATATATTTACCATTCAATAACGCAATCGCTGCTGTCTGTCTGTCCCATAGAAGAACATGACAGCGCAGCGCAACTATACTACGGACGTGACTGCCCTGGCAGTGACAGCAACATAGCCTGCTTGTGCTACCACACTTTCCCCTCAAAATATCGTTAAATAACGAAACTTATAAATACTGCCAATCCATACAAAGTGTAACCACATCATGTAAATATGAAAGCAATCTTTAAAAAATAACAGCGTTTGTTTAATCTATGACTATTTTGACCATGTTTGTGCTGTTTTTGCCATAGAGAAGCATTGCAACGGAAGTGCGTTTTGAACTATCCCGGCATACATAAACCACGTGACCGGCTGATGGCGACATCAAAGAGTGTCGTAACTCTTATCTCTCTAGTCTCTAGGCCTGCTTCTCAGGTCGACTATTTTCATTTCCTCGCTCCTCGGTCCTCGGTCTCACCGGAAGTTGATTTGCCCGCGCCATCTTGAGTACCGTCCCATGGCTCTTATTTCTGCCGGAGGACCGAGGATCGAGGAGCGATCATGGAGGAGCGATAACCGAGGAACCACCAGACCATCCTCCGATGAAATCCTCAGATACTCACCCCGCCCCCTTACTGTGTATCGCTCACTGATTGGACGAGGCAGTGCATGCACTGATCTGATGCTTCTTGACATGAGAGCAGAGTGAAGAAAACACATGAACCTCACGGGAGTCACTCCTCAGTTTATACCGTGTTTTGTTTCAATTCATGTATCATTTAGTTACAAATATGTGATATATCTGAACAACAAAGTGGTCAAAAATAATTTAATTCATTTTTTGGAAACATTTTCATGATCGCTTTTTTCGTTTTACATTTTCATTTATTGTCATTTCCATTCAGTCAGTCATTAAGTGCTATTGAAATGTTAATGTGCTACATATCCAAACAAACAAACAAAGTGTGCAATCCAATGAATGTTAATCTAACTGGGTTTTGATAGATAACATATCTCTTTTTCTTCTCTCAATTATTTTATTTATATTGTGCACTCTAATCAATATTAATCAAACTATTGTTCGTTTATACATTTTAAGAATGGCGTTTATCTTTTTTGAGAATGAGTTCTTATTTTATTTTATTTATTTGGGTCTACAACAGATGATACAAATGTTTGTGTCAGTAAATGTGTACTAACAGAGGCGGGGGTGTGTGGAAATAACGGGGACAGAGCTGCTGTCAGACGATCAGCTGTGCAGCGTGATCACAAACGGACGTCGCTTCACGTGACGCTCCGGAGGAAAGGACGTCCCATTGCTCTTAAAACAAATTTCCCTGCTTCTCGTGGTTTCCTTGCGTTCCTCCATGCTTCCCTGGTGGGAGGGACTAAACGCAGGGAAACGACGCAAGTGAGGGAAGCAAGGATTTCATTGAATCGACCTGAGAAGCAGCCTAGGGCTCTGTGCCGCCCAAAGTCCCCGGCCGGAAGTCCCCGGCCGGAAGTCCCCGGCCGGAAGTCCCCGGAGTTAGGGACTGGCTTCAGTAGAAGCTGCTGGGACTCCCAGCAGCTTCTACTGAAGCCTTCCGAGTAAATCGCCAGAACGCCGACACCTCCTCATCTCCACCACTCCCATGTTTTATTTTGTGTTGCCATAAGTTAGTCTCTCCTGCGTTTCTGCGCTGGGATAATGCTAATGCTAGTAATGCTAATGCGAGGATAATAAAATGGCGGCTTCACAAAACTTTTTGGGAGTTTTGCGGGGCGTGGTTTGCAATCCTTCCAGCCAATCAGAAATGTAGCTCATTTCTCACAAAAGAGCCGCTCGAAAGTCCCTGCTCTCTAGCATTGAATTTGATTGTGTTGGTGTGGAAATCAAACTATCTGAGGAAATGTCCCTCACCATGATTTGCCTGTATTGACAACCCACCGCTAAGGTGGATTTCTATGACCAGGTAAAACTCCTGCTGAATTCCTGTGACTCCAACAAAGAGCTAATTATTGTAGGAGACTTTAATATCAACTGGAATGACAAACAAAATAGAGCTTAAAACGGATCATGGATAAACACAACTTAATACAACTAATGGATCAACCGACTAGAATAACCAAAACCTCTAAGACTATTATAGATTTATTATTTACAAACAAAGCTGACAGAATAGTTAAAACCTACAACTTGCTGACTGGTCTTTCTGACCATAATCTTGTTCTTTTTGCCTGGAAACTCACAAAAAAAAGGTTCATGGCCACACCTAAAACCCCTGCCTTCGGTTCTCGCTTCATCCCCAAAACCCTGCAACAACGTTTTATAGTGGCAGTGAAAATGATTGATTGGGGAGACACTCTGTCCTCTGAAGACATTGGTGAAAACAGTAATCTTTTTATATCTAAAATTAATGATGCAATGTCTTCCTTCTCAAGGAAAGAGTGCCTTAGGGACAGGAAGGAACATTATCTTCCCTGGCTGAATCTACAGTGCAGGAATCTCATGAAATCTAGAGACCAACTATTAAAGCAGAGCTTGAAATCTGGACTATCCACTGATAGACAGAAGTTCTCTCATGCTCGTAACACAAACAATAAGACAGGCCAAAGCAACGTTTTTCATCAACATAATTGAAGGTGCGAAAGGTAACAGTAAAAACGTTTGGCAAATCCTAAATAAACTATTAGGTAAACCAAACAGGAAAATAATGTTTTAGAATTAAAAATCAACGATGCCCTGATAAAAGACCCTGCAGTGTTGGCCAGCTCTCTAAATTAGTATTTTATAAATAGTGCTCTGGACATTACAAAGCTCTTCCCGCCATCTGAGGTCTCACCTAGCCCGACTGTGGATACACACCCCGTTGTTGACCTGGAGGAAATCACAGAGGTGGAGGTAAAACATATAATCTTAGGGTTAAGAGGTTCTAAGGCTAGGGATGCAGATGATTTCGACACCAACTTTATAAAAACACATATTGATGGTCTAATAAAACCAATTAGTATGCTAGTAAATCAATATATCAGCACGAGGGAAGTTCCGTCATCCTGGAAAGTGGCCACGGTGACACCAATTTTTAAATCTGGGGATAAGGCAATGATGTCCAATTACAGACCAATCAGCGTCTTTAAGATAGCTGTTAGAAAAATACCATTACTGTTTTCTCTGTACATTAATGACTTGCCTAATGTATGTCCTGAGTTGAATGTGCAAATGCATGCCGATGATGCGGTCATCTTTGTACGTGGGAAAAACACTGAAATGATCTCATCCTGTCTCTCAAATGCTTTGGACAAGGTTCACCACTGGCTGAACAACATATGCTTACAGTTAAATGCAAAGAAAACAGTATGCATGATGTTCAGTAAACGACCAGTCAAAATTGAAGGATCCAATGTGTTTTTAAACGGAGCAGAAATAGAACTAGTCCCCCACTCCAAGTATCTTGGAGTCATACTGGAGTCGAACTTGACTTTTAAGAAACATATTAAGAAAGTATCCAATACCATTAAATTCAACTTGCAACATTTTAAACAAATTAGACCTTTCTTAACTGTCAATGCTGCAAAGTCATACCTCCACTGTATGATTCTATCCCACATTGAATGCTGTTTTACAAACTGGTCGTTTGCTTGTGCAACAAACCTGAAACCCATAGAACAGCTGTACAAGAGAGCTATCCAGGTGTTTGACAGAAAGCCAAATTCATACCACCACTGTACCATCCTGGAGAAACACAATTTATTGAGTTGTGACCATTTTAAGTCTTTTAAAAGCATGTGCTTTATTTATAAATGTTTACATGGACTGCCCCCCCCCCCCTTAGGGGAATTCATCCACAAAAAACACACTGGACGCTGCACTAGGTCAGAAACCAGAGGATACTGTGAAGTCCACTGCTGATGGACCACTTTTGGACAAAATGTCCTCTCCATTAAAGGCAGCTCTTTCTGGAATAGCCTCCCAACTCAAATACGAGATTGTCCCACTCTCAATAGTTTTAAAGGTCAACTCAAAGAATGGTTGAGAAACAAACAGACGTGAGATCACCGCTAAATGCACTTTAACACAGGGGTATCTTCTCTTGCACTTTATGTAGCACTTTTATCTTCTCTTGCACTTTATATATCGTAGCTGCTATAGTGTACTGCCATGTGGTTAATGCTTGTATATGCTGCTCTTGCTCTTCCTGCATGTCATGTATTTATTTTTGCTATGTATATAAATGTCAGGTTCTTAAATGTTGTATGTGACGGACTATGGATGGAAATTAGCTCAAAGCTAAAACCTGGCATGTTTACGTTTTTAAAGCATTATTTGTTTTAAATGTTCATCAATATGCATTGTCCCTCTTCAAATAAACAATTAAATTAAATTATTTGTTCTTTAGCTGTAGGTGATGTCCAGATCTTAGACACAGACGCATCTCCCTCCCATCATGGACTCCAAGAAGCCGGGGATGCTTCGGCATCTCCGCCAGAAGATGATGCCGCACCTCCGCCGAGCGAAGCCGAACCAAAGCAAGCATGTCCTTCAGCTGGATAACACCCTGGACCACCGGATGAGCGCCTCCGTACCCGACATGAGGAACATGAGGCAGGAGTACGCTCACCTCTCCGCCGTCCCACAGCTCCAACAGTACAATTCTCCCAGCTTCAGCAACCCCTCCACTCCACTCGTCCAGTCAGGCAGAGGCCAAGGAGAAGGTGGGGGTGGCCTGCTGATTGGAGTGTACGACGGTGAAGCTGGGAGGAGTGTCCCTGCAGACTGCACCGACTGGGCCTCCTCTCATGAGTCATTCAACAGCCTGTGTGGGGAGGAGAATAGCTCTCCAGAGGCTAAACACATAGCACCTGGGGTCATGGAGCCTGAGGAGCTGGGTCTGCCCGAGATGATGACCGTGTACAGCCCGGAGCCTCCGCCACTGGAGGTGTCCCAGGACAGCTCACAGGTACACACACACACACACACGCACACGCACACGCACACGCACACGCACACGCACACGCACACGCACACGCACACGCACACACACAAGCTCATTTAGCATTCAGCAAGTTATTTGTTTACAAAAGATTGCTCTTACTTTGGATGTCTTTTTAATATTCAAGGCTTCTGTTGAAACATTTCCAGTGAGCTTGACAGAAAAAAAGTTTGATGTTGGTTTATTTTTTTGTTTAATAGAAACAGATAGCATGGCTGTAGTAAAGATAGTATAGTATTACTTTGGTTCCTTTTTTCATATTTATGGCTTTTGCTGAATCATTAGCAGTTAGCATGACAGCAGTAAACATCATATATATATATTCATTTGATATTAAAGGCTTTTGTTGAATCATTAGCAGTTTGGGGGAGAGTAGTAGAGTTTGTGTATTGTGTTTTTTTTTGTTTCCTTGTGCCTCAAAGATAAAAAGATAGCACATTTATCATGAATTGGCTTGTGGAGTTTACTTTGGCTGGTGAGAGGTGTCAGGTGTATTTGCACAGGACTATGAATCCTGGATGAGCTGGTTAAAGTTGACATTTGACCTGTGTCTATATTCATTTGTCTGCAGCAGCACTGTGCAAACTCTGGCAGTATTTGTTTTATCTGCGTCTCACAACATAGGTGCCAACCTGGCATGCTCATATCACATTATGCACTTACACCTGATCATGAATTGTATGCTGTGCTCTTAAAGGAAGAAAACACAATGCCTCATTGGGAATTTGAGGAGCTTCTTTATAAGGAGGAGGGTTGTTCAAGATGTGCTGATGTACAACTATTCATTTATAAACAATGTTATCTTGTTAGTTGTCAGTATCAACAGGTATCATAACAAAAAGGTTTCTGTTCCTAAAGATGGTCAATCGTCCAAGACTCCCGCATTGTCCTGAAACACTCCAAAAGTTGCACAGTTCCCACAAAGTTTTGAAAATGTTTTAGTTGAAATATACTCCTTAAAGGTCCCATGTCATGCTTTTCCGGTTATTACCCGTGCCCTTGTGTGTTATGAAGGTTTTTCTTCATGTAAACGGTCTGCAAAGTCACAAACCCTCAAATTACACCCTGTAGAGAGTAAAACTCTAACACAGAAAGACCTGCCCAGAACGCCTCGTTGGAGATTTCTCTTTTTCCATTGTTTGCTTCCTGGGTTCTGTGATGTGTGAACACCCAGATCAACAACAAATGACCGGATTGGCCCAAATGGACCAATCCGCAGAGCACCTCACACACCAGGATCCCTTGGCTAACTAACAGGGAGTCCCCATTGACTTGCATAGAGCTCCCTGAACGCTGGTAATAGACGAGTTGGGATCGCAGAGAAATGCTCTCCGCAGACCCATGCTCACAGCGTTATAAACAGGGGTGCACATAACTTTTTTAGTGAGTTACTCAGATGAGTACCAGGAGACAGCGTTTGGTACTCACCCCACACGAAGCGTGGTCCTCCTCAGCGTCTCCTTCACTGTCCTCTATTTACACTTCTTGCATGCTAGATGATGAAGATGATGAAGATGATGAAGATGCACCTCCCTGTCTCTTTTTAAGCCTCCGATTTGCTTTCTCCAAAACTTGTTGCCAAAACTGTGAAGTCCTTGCATTTCCTGAGGCCAAGTTGGAGGATCAAATACTAAGAAATGATCACATGACTTGAAGTCATATCTGATTTCAGATGTGGGAAGTTACTAAGTACACTTCTTCAAGTACTCTACTTAAGTACAATTTTGAGATATTTGTACTTTACTTTGATCTAATTTGTAAAATTAGCTGCACCTTTACCAGCTTTGAGAACACTTTCATGATCAATCATTACAAAACATATCATATATATTATTCTGAAATGGACCAATCTGCACAATGACTACTTTTACTTTTGGTACTTTAACTATATTTTGATGATAATACTTTCCTAATTTTACTTGAGTAACATTTTAAATGCAGGACTTTTACTGTAACAGAGTAACACTCTGGTACTTCTACTTTTACTCAAGTACAATATCTGAGTACTTCTTCCACCTCTGTCTGATTTCAAACTCTTCCATTAACACCCTGAGGAAGTTTGCAACTGTGTGTTTTACTCCACTTTGGTGTAAATCAAACTGCAGCAGCTTGACCACAGAGCGTGAACCTTGTGATCAGCTGATTTTGCGTAGTTCTCCAGTGTGTGCGCGGGGCACAGAATGTGCACAGGGGAGTCTCCCACTGCAGCCAGTTGGCGGAGTTTTGGCACAATTCAGTTGTTCATATCGACGTTAACCCTGTCTGTGCACACGGCGACCAACTCTCGTCCGGTGATCTAAGCCTCTGCCTCCTGTAAAGCTTCACAGGTCCGTCGGTTATGTCCTGCGCGGCTCGGCCAGCTCCAGTTCAGTCAGTCACAGAAAGTCCGAAGAGTTTTTGCAGGGAGCAAAACGGCAACGTAGCTGCTTAATGTCTTTGGTATTTTTTAAATGTCTCGTAGTTTACTCCATTGACTGTTGACAAGAAACACGTGTAGACGAAATATGTGTTTTTGTTTTGATGTTTTGAGGTACGCAAAGGCGCGTAGTGACACAAGTGACGTTACGCAATTCAGATTTTTGCCGCGCATGCGTACCTGCGTACCAGTTATGTGCACCCCTGGTTATAAACCTTTTTCTCACTCAATATCAAGCCACACTTATTGTTTTTACTTCGGCTGTGAGTGTTTGTGTGTGCTCAGGATGAGTTTCGCTTGTTCTCGCTGTATCGCCGACCCGGAAACCTGTCCGCTCCTCGCAGCAGCAACGAGCCTCGCAACGTCCCGACCAATCAGAGCACACTGGGCACACAGGGAGGGGAGGGGAGGGGGGGGGGGGGGGCAGGAGCTCCAACAAGCCGTGTAGGACAGAGAGTGAATACCTGGTGAATACACATACTAGAGATGCTGTATGAGAAACCAATGTGATTTTGGAAAATTGCACAATTTAAATCTATTCTAGTAGACCTCAACAATGGAAATATGATCAGTAGAATTGGCCATGACATGGGACCTTTAAAAATGCTTGATTTTTAGCATAATCTCGCATTACATTAACAGAACACAACGCTAAAAAAAATACATGATATTGTGTTCACTCGTTGTATTTGATTTCTCTGTTCATCCCTTGCTATAGAAATGAGCAAGCAGTAAATAACCATGATTATGACTTGGTTTAAAACAAATAGATTTTCCTATTCAAATCCATCCTCATATAAATGATCCAATATCAATTCATAAAATCCAGAGATTGATCTCTTCAAATTGTATCCTTTTTCTGTTCTTTTGTCAAGCATTATTGGTATTGTAACTAAAATGACTATGATCAAACCAATAAAGATTTGTTTATGTTTAATTAAATTTTGACCTTATAAATCTGAATCAAATGGCTTCAGGAAATCTGTGGGGACACCCAGCCTATGTATACTGCTGTGGTTACAATTCTGTAAACCTTATTTATTCATATTTATAATAATTTAGATGTGATGACGAATGTTTTGTGAGTTCTTGAATTGAACTTGTAAGCGGCTGTTCAAACCGTGTTATTAAAGATTACATTTTCTGTGACGTTGCATTTTAACATAAGAGCACACCAACAAAACTGTCTAAACAGAGGTAATCCAGCAGACCTGTCAACAGTCTTTCTCACATCCTTACAAATAGCAATGTCTAAACTAAAGTGGTGCTGATCAATGACGGCAAACAGTGAATGTCTCATGACACGCTCTACACCCTTGATATTCCTACTGTGGTGACATGACATTTAGTACAGTAAGCTCTTTATGTACAAAATATTGGAAAGTAATCCTAAATGTCTCACTTAGCGAATGCAAATGATCAACTGCTGTTGGAATGTTGAAGTTGTTGTCATGACGAATTGTTATCCCTCTATATGTTATTATTGTATTTTATCGTTTTTTGTTTCTTTTTTTTGTTATTAATTAAAAAAAAGAAACATTACAAAATGTACTTCAAGTAATGTTACAGAGAAACAAGACTCAAAATGTGTGTATATATTTGATATCATACCCAGTTTTAAAGGGGGCTGACATTGTTAATAACCTTTTTTGTGTGTTGATGAGAAAATGTTAATATTGCACTTAACATTCTGTTTAAACAATCGATTATGTTCTTGAATAATAGTTTGGTCTATAGTAGGGGTCATTATCGGGGCCGATATTCCGCATTTGACCGATTATCGGTATCGGCCTTTTTTTTAATCAAATTGCCGATAAAACTTGGGCTCTGATGCGGCCGTTTCTCTGGCTGCAGCATAGACTGTATATATAAACTGCAGTCACCACTCTGTGTACACGAGCAATGTCCCGCCCACAGCGCTATCTGATAGGCTATAACTGAAGATTTTCCGGGCGTGAGCCAGCCAGAGAGGCGGGACCTTCTCAGATTACAGGCAGGTGCGAAAGAACGCAGACACAGACTGAAGCAAGCAGCAGCGCAGAGCCATACATGTGTTAAACCGAAGTTCAATAAACATCCCTATCCCCTATGCTGAAGTTGCAAAAACACAAGCGGCAAACTCTGGGGTCTGTATATATACTAGAGATGTTAAGATTCACCGATTCGCATCGGTGCACCGGCATAAACGTTCAAGATGCGAGTGCACCGGTTGAAAGAGTGCACATCGGCTACAGTTTGGGTTGAACCGGGTTGAACTCGCGATGCATCGATGGCGTAGCGTCTTTGCATCGGTAAAAAACCGATTCATTCATATAAAATCCCCTCATCTTGTCAACGCTCAGCAGAGACGATCTTTGATATTTGCTTCGCCACTACGGAGGCCGAGAGTCTCAGTTATCAACAAACACGGAAATTGAGGAGAAAGAGAAACAGCGCACTGAAAAATACCTACATATCAAACGTTTGGCAACACTTCGGATTGTTCAAGAAAGACGGTGTAATAGTCCTTTATGCTATATAGTTGACCGCAGGTCATGGAGAGTAATAAGGT